CACATGTGATATCAATCTTATAAGAGTGAATTTTATAGCAAGTCTATCAGTATCTCTGAAAATCTTTTGCTACAAAATCCGCTGAGAGAAATTTAATTTTTATTTGGGATGACAATGTGATCCTTATGGTTCTCCTTATCTTTTATGATTTGTAATAAATTATTTAAAAAAATAAATTAAGTTGTTCATTTTATATGTCTCACCTTTATGAAGCATACAGCTTGGATATGAGTGTTATTAGATTCTTTTAACTCTTTAGCTTAAATTTTTTGATATTATTCAGTATTAGATAGATCTATATTATTTTGTTAAAATACAATCCATATGTGTACAAAATGTGTTTAAATCATTCTCAAATTATATTTTATAGTTTTCTAAAATTAGAGAGTAATCATTTTGATAAATTAATTAATTAGTTGAGAAGATATATGAAGATTATAATATCAGATTTTAGAATTGATCACATAATTTATATTTTCTTTCTTGATTGAATTTGCACATTCTAACTTTAAAAATTCTATAAAAAAGTTTTTGAATATCTATAATACTCGGTCGCTAGATAATATAAAGTGGAAGTAGACAATAGGCGCGAGTAATTTCTTTATAATTAAACAAAATCCTCTATGACCAGATAAACCTATCATTTTACATTGATAAATTCAAGATTTATTTTTTCATTAATAATAATAACTTTTTAGATATTGGTGCTTACATCATTAATATTTTAAAACGATAATTTTAAATCATTAAATTGCTCTTAGATCATTAATATTTTAAGACTTTAAACCTCACTAATTATGTGTAAGGTAAAGTGTTGAAACCAACATAATTTTATATATTGAAATATCTAAAACTTTTTAATATATTATGATAATCATAAACTTTTTTGCAACTATGTTATAGTAAATACATAAACTAAAAATCAACAATTATAATATTTGATCACGTGCATTGCACGTGCATTCCATCTAGTATATATTAAAAATGCATGCAAGGTCTGTTCGGTACTAGTTGTTACATAAGTTCTTAAAATTTTTAAGAACTTTGTTTTTATAATTTTTAAACTTTTAAGAAGCTAGTTTGCAGTTTTTAGATTTTTTTTTTTTTTAAGTTGTTTGTAATGTTAGGATTTTAAGGGCCCAATTTTACAATTTTCTGATTTTTGAGATTGCTTTTTTTATAATTTTCTCATGGTGTGTAATTTGATAGGCTCTAGGACAGTTACCTATAACTTCTATCCCATTAAAAATATTTCTATTAATTAAGATAAGATATTAATAGATATTAAAGGCATTCTTGTAAATTAGGATAGGATCACAATGTAATATTATCAAGAGTATTTTTATTCAGAGAAAGTTTTTTCCAAACTCACATTTTTATAAGGGGTAGACGATGATTTTCAAGCGGTGTGTAATTTGATATGCTCTAGGACAATTATCTATAACCTCTAAATTGTTAAAGATGTTTCTCTTAATTAAGATAAGATCGTAATAGATATTATAGACATTCTTGTTAATTAGAATAAGATCTTAATGTCGTATCCAAAAAGGATCAAGGATATTTTTGTCCATGAAAAGTTTTTCTCATACTCACACTTTTATAAGGAGTGTGGGTGTGTGTGTATGATGAGATATGAGAGATGATATGATATGATACGATACGAAATAAAATATATACTATCTAGTATAATGTTTGAAATTCATTCATATTTGAAAATCTTCTGAAAGGAGTAAAATCTAACCAATTTCATTGAGGACATCTATAAGATAGGGCTTCATGAGTCTGTAAATTCCTAATAGAAGCTTTTCAAATGGAAAATCCCTATAGTTTTGCAAATTTCTTTTTCCCCTCCAAATAATAAGGCCCTCTCTCACATATAAATTCTTTGATACTTCTTTCTCGTTAGAAAATGAAGATAATGACCGCGCCAGTCAAAAAATGTAAGAAACCAAATCTGTTCAAATCCAACAGTCTTTAATAACCAACGACTCGCTCTCCGACAATTCACTATCTAAAAATAGTATTAGCACCATTGGCTACAAAAACAGCGATCCTATTTTCTCCCCAACGTATGAACCAAGCCTCCAATCCTCCTTCAACCTCGACCCATGACAAAACTTGACAAAAAAGCCTTTAACATGAAGAGGCTCTTCAATGTCCCCGTTATCTTCATCCTCATCCTCTTCTTCCTCTTAGGTGTCGAATGCGACTTCAACCTAAATCCATTACCGGACTTTCTTCAAGAGACGCAGTTCGAAAACACCGACAACAACAACAACAAAAACATCGATGACAACAATGAAAACAACAACATCTTTAACTTCAACATCGACAACGACAACAACGTTAATTTTAACAACAAAGTCAACAACAACGTTGGGTATAAGCAGAGCTTCTACAAAGCTGATGGAGAAGGGAGATGGGAGATGTTCGTGCAGGACGCAGGCGTGTCTGCAATGCACTTGGTGATCAATCATGCGAACAAGGCTGTTTTTTTTGACTCGCCGATATATAATCCTTCGAAGTTGATGCTGCCCAACGGTGATCCCTGTAGGCCAATCCCCGGTGCCCAGCATGGCGAGGTTGACTGCTGGGCTCATGCGGCTGAGATGGATGTTTTTACCGGGCAAATACGTCCTCTTAAGGTATGTATTAATTATGTGTCTCCAAACCAAGTGAAATAAGATGCACAACGAACATCCTTGATAAGTAGCATTTTGAACATTTAGAAATAGATCTCTTGGAAGTAAATTATTAGGACCAGATTAATGTTTCAATTACACGGTTTGGAACATTATAATCAGGCTTCAAGCTGTGAGTTTATGCGTATACACAGTATATAATGACAAAGAGTGTGTTGTTGTGATGCAGGTCACAACTGATACATGGTGCTCGTCAGGAGGGTTTGGACCGGACGGGAGCCTGGTTCAGACCGGGGGATGGAAGGATGGCGGTAGAGCCGTTCGATATCTTCGGACTTGTGATAATTGTGACTGGGAAGAATTTCCCGTTGCCCTTTCTGGAGAAAGATGGTACCCCATTTGCTCACCTTTCATCATATTTCAGTTATCGTTTATGATGATATAGCCATCCCCTTCATCTTATATAGAGAAAGATTGCACATCTCGGTCAAATCTGATTAGACACTTTAACCCAAACATGACCATGAAAATACCATAACCTTTCAAAGAAAATATCATAGTTATTTATGTCAGAAAAAGTAGCAAAAGTTATCATATACTTTTTAACAGAAAAATTATCATATACTGTCATTGCTAGTAGAAGATGCACATTCACGAAGGGTACTTTTGAGGAATGGTCAGGTTTCCACTGGTGTATAAAACATAGTAGGAAAAATATAAAACGCATTTGATAATTGAAAAGATGAATAGGATTAAAGAAAGTTATACAAGATAAATACGCATAAAAACATCTAGGATTATGTCACGTGTGTATCATGCGTCAGCTTAGGTTATGCTGTAGTTTTTGTAAAATTTACCTTTCTCATAAATGACTAGAGCCCTTTCATGTGTGTAGGTACGCCACCCAACTACTCCTCCCGGCCGGCAACTTCATAGTGATCGGCGGCACCAAAATGTTCAACTTCCCGGCCAAGCCAACACTGCGAACATCCCCCTGCCCTTCCTCAAAGAAACCACCGACGGGCAAGAAAACAACCTTTACCCCTTCGCCCACCTCTCCCCCGACGGCAACGTCTTCCTCTTCGCCAACGACCGTGCCATCCTCTTCGACCCCAAGACCGGCAACGTCATCCGCAAGTTCCCCCAACTCAAAGGCGGGTCCCGCAACTACCCCTCCTCCGGCATGTCCGCTCTCCTCCCCCTCGACCTCACCATCGACGATGTCAACGCCGAAGTCCTTGTCTGTGGCGGTACCCAATGCCTTCGTCCTCGCTCCTAAACAAGAATTTCCACTAGCACTCAAAACCTGCGGCCGGATATCCATAACTAAACCCGACAGCAATTGGTACGTCGAAGAAATGCCCATCGCTCGAACCATCGGCGACATGCTTTTACTCCCCAACACCGAGGTTCTGATAATCAACGGCGCAAGCCGGGGGTGTGCCGGGTGGAATTTTGCCCGAAACCCGGTGCTTGAACCCGTGCTCTACCGCCCGTATGTTGACCCCAAGGGAGGTGAGCGTTTCGCGACCATGAACGCGGGGAGGATACCGAGAATGTACCACTCGACGAGTGCCGTGCTCCCGGACGCTAGCATACTCATAGCAGGGAGCAACACAAACGCCCAGTACGATTTCAGCAAGCAGGCGATGTTTCCGACGGACGTCAGTGTTGAGAAGTTCTACCCGCCGTACTTGGACGCAATGAATGCCTTGACACGACCGGTGATTAATCCGGGGGACATGCAAGAGACAATGAACTACGGGCAGAAGTACGAGCTGATGTTCACGATACCCGAGCTGGCTATTATGGCGGAGGAGAAGGATGTGATGGTGACGATGTACTCTCCACCGTTTACTACGCACGGGTTCTCGCAGAATCAGAGGCTGCTGGTGCTGAAGACGGATGAGTTTAATTCGATGCTGCTTTTTAGGTTTAGCGCCACGGTGACTATGCCGGCGTCCGGCGTCGGGAAATATTGCGCCGCCGGGATATTACATGCTGTTTGTTGTGTATAAGGGTGTGCCCAGCGAGGCAGTCTGGGTTAGGCTTCAGTGAGCGATGGTGTCCTATGTGAACAAATTTTAATTGTGTTTATCTGGTGTAGGACCAGTCGCTTGCTTTCTTTCTTTCTAATTCAAATAGAAATAAAGAGAATGAACAAAACATTAGCCTTGTTGTTGACACAGTGGACTTTGATTTGCTATCAGGGTAATCTGTGATGATAAAACCTACGGTTTTTTCTCTAATCCTCCATACTAAATTTCATTCAATGATTTCCCTCTATGGTTTTCACAGCTTCTAGGTCGTGCTATACAACAGTCACAACTCGTTTATATATATATAAAAGAAAAAAGGGGAAAAAAAAAGGAAGAAACTTGGGCGTTCAGCAAAATTGTTACTTCATCTTACAGTTGAGAATGTCAGCCAGGAATAGCTAAAGCAACATGATCAACATAAGCTCGTGCACAGGTACTACTGCAACAGGATAAAGAGAAATCCACAGAGAAAAAGACTACAATCCACCAAGAATTAGTTTGCTAAGAAGCTCCTGTCAGTGCACAAGTATTCTCACATATCCTTTCGTAGTAAGGGATCGCCAATGAATTTGCTTACATAATAACAATGATCTGATAAAACTCCCGTAAAATAGTGTGAGATCAGAGACGGCCAAAGAGTTGTATATGAAGATAATTAAATTCAAGTAGTTTTGGAGAGCACTGATGTGGGAAGTATAGGAGAGTATTTCACCACTGACCATCAGACTGTGTATGAACCCAGCAGATCGACGCATCCACAATCATCTGAAAAACCTGCATAGTGAAAGGGAGGCGTAAGTAATACATTAGGCGAATCAGAAATACTCCTGCTTACCTTGTGCCTTAGAAACTCATGTAACATGTCCTCTTTCTTTAGAATCTAGAGGACACATTGGCAATAGAAAACAAATAATAAATAAATGAATAAAAATAATCTTCCAAAAGTCAGACCAACGCCTGAGTTTGATTCTGAAGACAACGGATGAAGCTTATTTTCTTCAACTCAAGCTAATCACGTTCTATCTGGAGCTTCTAATAAGCTTTAACCAATTATTTGGCCTTGATACCCATAATCTCAGGATCCATAACTGATACGCTACAATGTGAAGGGAATAAAACAATTCAGTAGGAAGAAACAACTTGGCTAACAAATTATCCTGCATATTAGTACTCCACACGTAAGAAGAACCCAATTGTATAGCATTATTGGCCATGAAGGCAGCAAGGAATGTACATTGGAAGACGATTCAATGGTGCACCAAGAAGTTTGAATAGATAGAAGTCATAAATAGGTTAGACAAGATAAAAAGTAGGGTAAGTTTCACAACCCCCCACCCCACCCCACTCACCAACACCGCCAAGGCCCACCGACCCTCCCGCGCAGAACTTTGGGGGTTTTCACAAAACATCTGAATTTGTTTATCTCACATAACCTCCCTGAACTCTGGGTGTCTCGCAAACCCCTCTGAACTTTGCCAACTGGAACACCCCCCCCCACACACACACACACACACAAAAAACATGTAATATTTGCAAAAACATATAATTTCATTGAGAGAAAAAAAACCAAAATTACGTGAGGAATATAGCCTGTAAATGACAAATGACAAATTAATGTGAACAGTTCAGGAGGGTTTTGTGGACACCCAAAGTTAAGGAAGTTATGTAAGATGAACAACGTTCGTGACCTTGGGGGGTTTTAGGCGTGGGGGTGTGAAACAACCGCCCCCCCCCCCCTCCGTCAACCACCCATCAGGGGTTATGTGAAGTTAACCCTGAAAAGATATTGGTGAGTTGGTTCGCGACTACAGTTTGTATATCAATGACAAGCATCTTAACATCAAAGCGAAAGGTCCATCTCTTTCCTAGGCTCGTGAGTCATGATTAAATGGACTTATTCCTGAAGTCACTCTCACCATTGTTCCTTACACGCTTTTCCCTCTATTTTAATATGGAAGGCAACTTTCTACAACCTTACCTTTTTTGATTGCGCTATTCTCCAATTACGTATTCTATCTTATGAAAAATCAGACATCCCTCCAAAATATGAACAAGTATGTACGAAAGCATAAGGTGCAGCATCCACAATTATGATCCGTGTCAAGTCACTTTATGTTACCTGAATACTTCAAGCTTCCAATTCCTCAACTTATCTGAATAATTGGAGGCTTGGTAACATTTAATTGTCGTATTAATTACCAAATCATGATAATCACAGTTCAAGTGATTGTTCTATATGAAAGTGGAGAAGTCTAATCAGAATAAGCCAATACAGAAAACATCTGAACAAACATTACTGACTTACGGATTAAATGTTTTAAGTTGATTATTCTATACACAAATCTAGCTTACCAGGTTTGTAGTCTTGATCATCTAATAAAAAAGAAACGCCTCAAAATTCTCCAGTCTAGAAGGGCCAGCAAAGAGCCAAGAAAATGAATCAAATATACGGTGGAAAGCATCAAACAGAAAAAGGCCTATATGGATGTGTTATCAAATGGTTAAACACCAAGGCCATTCACCAAGGCCTATATGGATGTGTTAGCAAATGCAAATATGTACAAAGGCATGTAGTACTCAGTAATCCACCAAAAAATTCATGTCTAGGTTCAACAAGAAATAAATCATGCATGTGAGCTCCAACATTGCATGGGGAGTATGAATCGTTCATGTAGTACTGTTATTAAATGTGCTGTTGGAGTGTCTGAGAAGTGTCCTTGCGTATCCGACGCATCAAAAGACCTAAAATTTGAAGTCCCCTAGTAGCATTGACAGAAGCATTTTGCTAGTAGAATCGCTGATAACATCAAATTTACTTGATATCTATGATATTATCCCTTACTATTTTAACATACATTATCCATCGCAACAGAATACACTGGAAATAATAATGGTGGAGTAGATCAATCGCCTAAAGCAGAAATTTTAATCCCATAAGTTGATTTAATAGACAGAAATAAGCAAAGAAACCAATAAAATCCTTTACCAACATGAATCATTCTTCATTCTGCACAGTTCTCATGACGGAAGAATAGTAATGCGACTCCAACTCCTTCAAGCTCGCCGCCGCCTGCTCTCCGATCCTTTCGAGCATCCTCTCAGTGGTCTCCGCCTCCTGATTGAAGACTGCAGTTCTCCTTTCCACATTTTCGTTCAACGAAGCAAAGCCCGAGAACATCGCCGTCTGCTTCAGCTCCGATACCAATTTCAGCAGCGAGTACGCGGCCTGAGTCTAATCCCCAAAAAAAAGAAAAAATCAAGCAATCAACAGATCAAAAAATTTCCCCTCTTCAAGAAAATCACCCCAAAAAAGAGACATTCTTTTGTTACCATCTTCGCAGCACGAACTTCCATCTGGAATGAATCTTGAGTGTTGCGAACGGGAGGATCATTTACCTATCAAATTAATAATGGGGATGTGACATTGAATTGAATTGAAACCCTGATTAGGGATTTCGAAGAAAGGAAATAAACCCTAACCCTAGAGACGGAGACGAGTTGAGTGAAGTGGTCGCCGATGTTCGCGATCTCTGCGTCCAGTCTCTGCACGAGGGACTTCTGCTTCTGCGCT